CGGGAAAGATAAATGAGAAAATTTGAATTATTTTCTTTTAATGGACAATTTTAGAACAAGGGCTTAGTGCTAGCTACTTGCAATAGTGTCCAGTGGATTTTTTTTTTTCCTTTTATTGATCTCTCCTTTTTGGAACATCATTAAGAACTCAAGAATTTTTATATGTTCAGTATGTTTCAAACAACTGCATCCATTACTTTTTTTGATGCTTAAATTGTCCATCTTTGGCCAAAGGAGCTATTTGATGCTGGTTTCTGTGTCCCTTTGACACGTTTTACTGTTAATGGATTCCTGGCTTTGTGGCACAAGTTATCCTATGCTCATCTTGTGTATAACCTGGTCCAGATCTGAAGTCAGAGATTCCACTAGTCAGCTCTAGTTTCTTTTAGTTGGAAATTGTACTAAAAAAACCCAAACTGGATGATTTACATTATTTTTATTTGTAATAAAAATGAAAGGTTACATATTTAAAATTTCATGCCAAGGTAGTAAGTTTAGAATCAAATATTTATTTAGTTACTAAATAAAACTATAATTGCTTATTCTGTCTTTGTTTTAAGCTTACTTTTAAATTATTTTTATAAAAGGGGATATACCTTGTTATAAGTATACCTAAAACTGGATTAATAACTATATACCAATATTACATTTTTTCCAGATGGTACAATTTATATTCAAAATTTTCCAAAAAGTTTGAGATGAAGTATATAAATGAAATCTCAAATGTTTTCATATGAATTCAAATAATAATATCAATTTCATCAGAGTTGCTATATAGTAAAAGCTTTGAAAAACTTTTTTGAAATGTCATGATTTGATATGAGCTGACAAATATGAGTTATAGCTTGAAATAAGTAAAGGGCTATAATTTCAGGTGTTAACAGACGCCTGTGTGGAAATACATGACATTCAAACAAATGAAATGCAAAATGCCATTTGGCAGTAATTCTCCAAGTGAGGTTTGAGAACCCATAGGGGTTACTGAAACCCTTCCAGGAGCTTTGTAAGGTCCTCCCTTTTTCAACTATGAATCTGTATGACAGTTAATTTTCTTCATATCTTAGGTATAACAACATATCACAACAGCCTGAATGCAGAGGCAGAATATGAGAATCCAGTGTTCTCCATTAAGCTGGATAATAAAGAGATTTATAAAATGTTAAAAATGCCACTTTCCTCTAATTTTTTGGGAAAAAATGTAGTCATTATTTATAAAAATAATGTTTACAGTTCTAACATGTAATGGGTTTAAATTAAACAGACACGTGTCTAACATATTTCTATCTTAAATTTTAATACAGTAAATATGGACATATATAACCCACATAAACAACAGCTCTTCAAAGTTCTCAATCATTTTTAAGAATGTAAAGAGAACTTGAGATCAAAAAGAAGTTTGAGAACTGCTACTCTATGATACTTCTATTATTTGCTTACTAATGGTAAGTATGTATAGATAGGAATAGATTTTAATATCTGCATTTATGGGATTTGTAAACTTAATTATTTTAATTTGTTTAACTATCTCCTTGAATCTTAGATTTGATGCCTAACTATAATTTAAATCTGTACCTTAGTTAGGACTACATGATTCATTTTCCCCTGATGGTATTAACAACAAATAGAGGTCTGCTTTAATATATGAGGAGACAAAGCAAATATATTTGAACTAGATACACAAAGCTAAATATTCAGCTTAGAATTTAATTGATAAATTAGAATAAAATAGGATGCTCTAACTGCTGCTTCTTTTTCTCATAAACTATTTTTCTCCCAAAGATCAGTTTTAGGTTCAGAGCAAAATTGAGCAGGAAGTATAGAGTTCCAGTATATTCCTGTACCCCACATCTGCACAGCCTCCCTGACTATGAATATCCTATACCAGAGCAGTATATTTGTTACAACTGATGAACTTACATTGACATCATTATCACCCAAAGTTGAGATTTTATATTAAGGCTCCCTCTTTGGGTTGTATATTTTATGGGTTTGGACAAATGTATAATGAATGTATCACCATTATCATATCATACAGAATAGTTTTACTGCCCTAAAAATCTGTGCTTCATGTCCCCTCCTCTCTGATCTCTGGCAATCACTGATCTTTTTACTCTCTCCATATGTGATGGTTAATACTGAGTGTCAGCTTGATTGTATTGAAGGATACAAAGTATTGATCCTGGGTGTGTCTGTGAGGGTGTGGCCAAGGAGATTAACATTTGAGTCAGTGGACTGGGAAAGGCAGACCCACCCTTAATTGGGTGGGCACCATCTAATCAGCTGCCAGTGAATATAAAGAAGGCAGAAAAACATGAAAAGGAGAGACTGGCCTAGTCTCCCAGCCTACAACTCTCTCGTGTGCTGGACGCTTACTGCCCTCAAACATCGGACTCAAAGTTCTTCAATTTTGAGACTCGGACTGGCTGTCTTGCTCCTCAAGCTTGCAGACAGCCTACTGTGGGACTTTGTCATTGTGTAAGTTAATGCTTAGTAAACTCCCCTTTATATTTATGTATCTCTCCTATTAGTTCTGTCCCTCTAGGGAACCCTGACTAATACACCATAGGTCTGCCTTTTCCAGATATTAGCTTCTTTTTAAGTACACTTGATGAATCTTCTTGACAAAATCAGGCCAGACCTAGCAACTCTTTTTGTATGTTTATTTACTTCCCAATACAATAAAGGCCATAAACACCTGTATTTGTTCTTTATTCACCTACTTTCCATCCCAGACTGTCAGTTCCTAGTGACCAGGAGCTCCATTTAATTTGGGGTCATGGTACCAAATAGTTCTTGACTGCTATTTGATGAGGGTGGTCCCCTCACCTAAGTGCTTTTGCAATTGAGTCCTTAAGCACTGGCAGAGAAGAGCTTACCTTACAGTAATTATTTCTCTGGCAAGTAAGAAAAACTGGCACATATCCCTTTCACAGGAGAGCAATTTTGCTCGCTTCAGGAGACTCTTGGAATTTTAGTTATCAGGTCATTTAAGACTCTGAGTAGATTCTTAAACCTTTAGAATAAATTTTGAACCAAGAATGCCAGAATGTCTGTTATTTACATTAGTATTAAGTGATCTGAAAGTGCACAGAGTAGTTTGGCAGCATCTAGAAGGAGAACAGAGACAGAAATAATGAAGATATAACTGGAGGAGTAAAAAAAGGAGAAAAAAAGTATTTTATGTCTGTTCAGTACTTGTAGGTGCCACTGCTGCTGAATGCCTGGGCTTCAGCCTAGGTTGGGTTGCTCCTAGCAAAGAAAACCAATCCCTGAGACAACGAGTATTGCCAGGGAAGACAGGCTTTAATGCAGGTGATGCTGGCAGGGAGACCAGTCTCAAACCTGTCTTAGGGAGACTAAAGTTAGGACTTTCTATAGCAGGGAATTATGGCGGGGTAAGGAAGAGGAGTTTGTGAACAGGCAGCAGACGTACCTCATTGTCCAGATGTAGTGTTCTGGAAAGTTTCAGTTCCTTGACACTATCTGGGAGGTCTGACAGTGTATCTCCTGAGAAAGGAACTCAGGTAAAATACATGCAAGTTTCTCAAGTTTCACTTCGATCGGAAAATTCGGTCGGTTTCGGTCTTCCCTTTCTATTTATCAATTCCTCAATCATAGGGAATCTGGTAGTTAATCTTTCCAGCTGCTTCACATGAAGGAAGGGCATCTTGGGATGATAAGGAATGAAAATATCGCACCTGTAATTGCAAGTACTTACGAGTACCTGGTTGGCATCCAGCTTGTTGGAGCACCATGATTTGGGTACTTTCATCAACATTTGAAGCCACATTGATTTAGGATAATTAATAACATGGATAAGAAGGTTTCTTTGTAGGTTGTAATAACCTAGTTAAGAGTTTGTACCATTTGGCCAGGCGAGGTGGCTCACGCATGTAATCCCAGCACTTTGGGAGGCCGAGGCGGGCAGATCACGAAGTCATGAGATCGAGACCATCTTGGCTAACACAGTGAAACCTCGTCTTTACTAAAAATACAAACAAAAAACAAAAAACAAAACCCAAATAGCTGGGCGTGGTGGCGGGCGCCTGCAGTCCCAGCTACTAGGAGGCTGAGGCAGGAGAATGGCGTGAACCCGGGAAGCGGAGCCGAGATCGTGCCACTGCACTCCAGCCTGGGCGACAGAGCATGATTCCGTCTCAAAAAAAAAAAAAAAAAAAAAAAAAAGAGTTTGACCCATTTGAGGGCAAAAGCTTCAGTATGAAATTCCAGTTTCTCTCAAGTAAACCGCCTGTCCTGTATTACTCACTTTGGTTTACCTGGAGGCAGCAAAACTGAATAGTTTTCCTGAGTGCACCTGAGTAGGAAAAAATGCGATGAGGAGTTGCCCAAAGATCGTTCGTGAGGTGCTTTGCCACTGCTGCCCTGCACTTAAGCAACTGTGAGGGTTCTCTGTTTCCTGACTTACAAAACAAGAGGAGGAGCTGAAAACACAGTTTCACAGATTTTTCAGCTCTTTACTGTCCTCTCCCCCGTTAGTACGTTACTGAGCTTAGAGCAAGTGCTCAATAATTGCTTGCTGAATTAGTGTCGTTTCTGATCCTTTTAGATCCACGCCGCATTTTGAGCCCGACCTGGGCGGGCGGTCCAGAGACCAGTTCTCCACCGGGGGCGGAGCTTCAGAAGGCCACCGCGCGCCGGAGGAGCGGGGCGGAGCTT